CTTAACTCGAGCAGTCTCTGCTTGTGCTCGAGCAGCCTCCGCCTGAACTTGAGCAGCCCGCTCCTGCTCGATCGCTACTTCCTTTGCTTTTAGAGCAGCCTCTTTCTCCGCCACTGCCACCTCCTTTACTGCGAGGACGACATCTTTCTCCGCGAGAGCTTTGTCCTTTTTTGCGAGCTCTCTGTCAAGGGACTTAATCTTGACTTAGAACTCGGTCTTCTGTTCTTTCTGTGTCTCGCGGAGTTTATTATTGTGAAGCAGGAGAGAGTCATTTTTATCCTGCAGAGTGCCGAGGATACTCTCGAGCTTCTTTATAGACCTCCAAGAGTTGTCTCGAGCTTCTTTGGCCAAAGGTAGAAATTTGACCAAGCCCTATAACCAGATAAAACATAACGGTTCAATATATATATAGCAACTAAAGATGATAGAAGATATCGAAGCAAACATAGGATGAGCAATACCTGGGCAAGCCATTGTACAAGCTGGTCGCCAAGCTCTGGTAGTGTGACGCCAGCGTCCTTGCGGTCGTCGTCGAGGAGTGCGCCCTCGAGGCGATCAACTACCTCATTCACTGGGGCCACGAACAGAGAGATGGAACTAGAGGCCAAGGTGTCAGTAGTATGGCTGGTGTGCATGCGCTTCCAGATACTCTCCAGCTGGTCGGTGCGAGGACGTTTTCCCAGGGCCATGTTGCGCCCAGGGTCATCTCGGCCACCAGACTCGACCACGGTTTTGGTCGAGCTAGCAGGAGGGTTTTTGGAGGATGGTTGGTCGAGGGGAGGTTTGTCTTGGGTTTTGGTTTTGGATGAGATATTGGGCTCGGAAGATTTTTCTTTGGTTTTGGATTGAGTGACATCTTTGGGATTGGTAGTTCGAGTGTCAGTTTTCTGGGAGGAGGATTGTCTGTTATCGGTTTTGGAGGTGGTCGATATTTTGGTTCAAGTATTCTCAGGGGTGGTCGAGGTCTAGGTTTCGGTCTTTTTGGGGGGTGGTCGTGCAGTGGTCTTAGGAGGAGGCGGTGGAGTCTGTCATTCTTGTTGGCATCTTTGTTGGTGTTGTTGGTGTTGTTGTTGTTGTTGTTGTTGGTGTTGTTGTTGTTTTTGCTGTTGTTGGTGCTGTTGTTATTGCTGGTGTTGTTGTTTTTGCTGGTGTTGTTGTTGCGGTTGTTGTGAGGGTAGTTGTTGTGGTGAAGATTGTTGTTGATCTAGGGGGCTGCGAGGAAGTGGTCGATCCCTCGACTCTATCCCCAGTTGATCCAGAGGTGGCCCCAGACTTATTCTTGAAGGAGTCTTCCTCGGAGGAATGTTGAAGCTAGGCACCTCTGCAAGAAAATAACAGGAACATTAAAATCAATATCGACAAGACATACCCATACAAGAAACATTGAAATATATGGACACCTGAGCAAACTGATCGAAAATTACCTGGATCATTCTCAATCTTAATCAGATTAAGAACTTTGTCGGTGAGAGGAGAGAAGGCTTTGTAGGTGAGCAAGCCACAGTAATGGAGAAGGTTGTCATCTTTTAGAAGAGGGATTGACGCAACGGGTTTGGAATTTCAAACATGGATACATTGGTCGAAAAGAGGGTTAAAAGATGGGTTCGAGATCTCTCGAGGAAGTTCTTTGAGCCAAGGGGAAGGCGCCCAAGGAAAAGGAGTATCAGGCTGGATATAGACAAAAGTATCTGCCCACTTGGGGATGTTAGAGGGAATATCCGAGATGAAATGGACATTATTGCGACTTTTGAGGTAAAGGCCTCGAGCTTGTTTGGAATGGGCGTAGCAGTAATGGAAGAAGGCTAGGTCGAATCGACCTAACCGGGCATGGCATAGAATGATGAAGGTGGTCATGAAACGAATGGCGTTGGGAGAAAGTTGGTTTAAGGGAAGCCCGAACCATTCACAAACTTGAAGCAGATCAGGGCTAAGAGGAAAATGGATGCCGAGGTCGAATTGGATTTTGAAGAAGGTGTAGCAATCAGAAGGGGGATTATCGTAGGTGTCGGAAGAAGAGAGATAATAGAACGACCAGCCAGAAGGCTGACCGACCTTGTCACTCTTTAGCCACGCAATTGAGTGAGAAGCAGAAGAGGTAGATTTAGAAGGGGTTTTGGCCGAAGATTTGGGAGCGTCAGGTTGAGAAGAAGAGGGAATGGTCGAAGATTTGGATGCGTCGGGTTGAGAAGAAGAAGAAGAAGAAGAAGAAGAAGAAGAAGGAATGGTCGATGATTCTGGGGGAGCAGTCTGAGAGGAAGAAGGATTTGTAGCGGCAGGCGTAGGAATGGTGAATCGAGAAGAAAGGGGAATGGTATCGAGATCGTCTTCGTCCTCTGGCTCATCGAGCGAGCCCAAAAGCAGGTCAACGACGGCGGAGTGGAATGTTGTCCATGGTGTCCCCAGAGTTAGAAGAAACGGTGGCGATAAAGACAAAACGGTGGCGATAAAGACAAGGGTAGGCTCAGTATTGCCGGGGCGTAAAATGGAAAGAGGGACAACGTCAGGGATATAAGGAACTTCCTGAACAGAATTAGGGGAGGCAGTGGTCGAGGAGGAAGACGGAGAACTCAAATCAGCACCGGAGTGATGATCGTTTTCACTGGAGGTTGTAGAGTCTGAAAAAATAAGAACAAATGAGCAATATCGAAAAGGGGGAGTTTCCGCGAAAAAAAAAAAAGAGAGGAATGAAAGGCTTTCAAAGGCTAGGGTTTCCGGAGGAGGCGATTTTGAAAAATTGAAAAGAGGAAGAGCAGGAATTTTGAAAAATTTTCAAAGGAAAAGCGAAATTCATAACGCGCAACAAGCAAATCAAAGCACCCAATCCACAAATTCGAGGCAAAACGCACAAATTCAGAACATTCAACAGACAAAATCAAGATACCCAATGCGAAAAATTTCGAAGCATATAAATCTGAAACACATGAAGCACGAATTTAAGGGCAGAACAACTTACTCGTAGTCGCAGTGAAAGGAATTGAAAGAGCCTTGGGAAGGCAAGAGAAATCGCCGAAAGCAAGAAGCCAGAGTTGCAGAGAGATTTTAGAGCTCGAGAAAATTCAGAAAAAACAAAGGTGGAAAAACTCCGAAAATTTGCTAAGTGTTGAATTTATACCTAGATGATTTAAAGAGGTGAAGATGAGGATCGTCAGATTAAAACAAAATCTCGCGATTGGGAGCATTCAAATAACACGGGATTCAAAAGGGGCACAGTATGCGAGGTTGTGCAATAATTAAAGCGCCCGACAGATGCGACAGAACGACAAGTGGCAGGTGTGCAGGCGCGGCAGAGAGGACGCGTGGCAGGCAACTTTATTTCGGGCGGTTAAAGGGAAAATAATTGAAAAAAGTAGCGGGAAACTTATCAGGTGGTCGATATCTAGCATAATATCACCCAGGAGGAAGGCGAGCATAAATTCACTCTTAGACTCGACCAGAGTGGGGGAGGGGGACTAGATGATATAGGATATTATATCCACGAGGCTAAACCGGTCTGCCGAATCGGTCGAAGAGGTTGTACTGGGAGGAAGCCGAGCCAAGTAGAGGGAAGATCGACCAGTCGAGTAGTCGACCAGTCGAGCAGTCGAGTCGACCTCAGTAGATCGACCACTTTATGGGTTGGCAGTATTCTGGAGATCGACTTAGTCACAGGCGCGTGTAAGAGCCTCTAACCGAATTTCAGGGGAATATTCAGAGGAATAATCATCCCATGTGCAGAGGACACTTGGTGAGAATACATTGGTTGACAGCGACAACCACCTCTGACAATTCCCAGCATCACCTCTGACATACGCGCGGCATGTCAGAGTACGGACAGGCAGTTGGGGCAGCCAGCTCACCATACCCGGGCAGCCCTTAGGTCAGGTATCTCACCCCTATATAAAGAGGGGTGAGCCTTTCTTTCTTAACACGATTTCCATTACTCAACTCAAGTATACTCATACACATACTTACTTAAGCATCGGAGGCTCTTCACCAGAAAAACCTCCGGTGTGAGAGTTATTTGCAGGTTTCTGGCGTTCTACCGGCGAGAACGAGAAGCGATCTATTCCAAACCGGACCAGGACGCTCACACGTGCATTAGAACTGTAAGTAAGTTTTAAAAGTTGATAACTTTTGTATTTTTTATTGGTTTACATATATAATATATCAAATTAATCATCTCTTGATGAGCTTCGATTTGACATTCATATTGTATGTATAAAATAAATAAATTATATTTATCTTTATAATTATAATAAAATTACTTATTAATATTACCTAAAAAATAAAATTATTTATCAATTAATATACTTATGTCTAAAGTATTTATATGGTACATGTTAGAAAAAAATTGTTATAATATAACACTGGTAAGTCGCACAAGCAACAAGTGTCATTCTAACAAATAAAATAATATATATATTTTTTGCAAAAATTATTGAATTTTAAAACATTTTTTCTCATCAATTTAAAATTTAAGAAAAGTTTTTTTTAATAAGCATGTAATACACATTGTTCTACTGGTTAGTTAATATATAAATTAAGGATGTAGTACTTACCACTGAATTTTATAATGGTGCAAAATCACCAAATTTTTGGCACTAATGTTAATCTTTAATATATTCTTGATAATATGAGCTTCCCAAACAAACTTAATTAACACGGAATTCGGAATAGGACCAATATTCAGTGCGCAAACTTGAGTTTTATGCAAGCCAGATAATTCCTTTGGTCATAGCATTGACTCATGAATATTCTAATTTGGAAGGTTCATCTCTACATGTGAGGTTTGTATGATAGCCCATTTGAGAAGGCAAACTACACTACGAGAAGTATTAAAAGTCAAGCATATGATAGTATATGAAATACCCACCACTCACACACATGCATTATATATATATATATATGTATATATATATATATATATAGTTGTATCTTATCCCAACAATCAGGACACTAAGATGATGAGGTTACTGGCCTTGCTACTTGCAGTAATTTCAGTCCTATGTCTTACCACAACCATGGTGCTAGCGGTGTCCATGTCGAGGCCCGGTTGTCCCGAAAAGTGTGGAAATGTTACAATTCCCTATCCTTTTGGGGTTGGTGTTGGATGCTACGCAAATTCCTCATTTGCCGTTGTCTGTCGAAACACCACAAATACTTACAGAACCTTTTTAAGGAGCATCAACATGGAAGTGCTAAATATTTCTGTGCTAGGTATGAAGCTTACATCCTACTAATATCAGGCTTACTATTCATTCATCACCCAATTTACTAGAATATATATATAGTTCAATCCCACATACTATTTTTCTTGTGGAACTTATGTAGGTACTGTTATTGTAAACCATCCCGTGTCGCCCTTGAATTGCTCGAGTGAGCCGAGAATACAGAATCTCACAACATCACTCGTGGGAAGCCCGTTCACAATCTCAATGGACCACAATTCATTGGCTGTTTTGGGCTGCCAAACTTCGGTCTGGCTACGTGCTAATGCGACTACCACAATTGGTGGTTGTATGGCCATTTGTGATCCAAATTCGACCAGTGCAAGTTGCAATGGCGTAAATTGTTGTCAGACAACAATTCCTGATGGACTCCAGAGGCTTCAGTTTACTTACCAAAACATGGGATCTTCTAGCTCCCATAATAATAGCTTTTGTGGATACGTTTTGGCGGTCGAAAAGAAATGGTTCCAAGAGGGTTATAAATGGTACAATAGCCTCCAGGGCGGTCTGTCAAATCCATCTAACCAAGAATTTGAGTCAGCGCCTCTTGTGCTTGACTGGGAATTCAAATTTGTTTTTCATAGAAGTACACTCTGCTATAAGGGTCGTTGCGCGAGAAGCTCCAACCATTTAAATTATGATGGAGACTATTTAAATTATGGAGAATATTTAAATTATGATGGAGACTATTATGATAGAGACTGCTACTTTGCTAGGAGAAGCTACAATAGTCATAAGGATAACTATTTACCTTCAGGCCTGTATTGCTACTGCAGGAATGGGTATCCATATTTTTCTGAAGGATGTGTAGATATAGATGAATGCAATGCAACTAATAATGCCTGCCAATATGCAAATGGAACTTGTATCAACGAGATAGGATCGTACAACTGCATTTACGAAATGAAGAACATTAAATCCCGACTCAAAATTGCATTCATTAGTATAGGCAGCGTGCTAGGTGCATTAATTTTTCTCGTTGCCCTTTGGAAGTCGGGAAAAGCTATTCGAAAACTTATCAAGGCCAGCCGTAGGTACATGTTCTATAAGCGTAATGGCGGCTTGTTATTGGAGCAACAGTTGTGTTTGAGTGATAAAAGTGGAGTTGATAGAACCAAGCTGTTCAGTGCCAAAGAGTTGGCTCAAGCTACCGACCGTTACAATGAAAACCGTATACTTGGCGGTGGTGGCCAAGGTACGGTTTACAAAGGAATGTTGACAGATGGAAGAATTGTAGCAGTTAAGAAGTCGAAGAGGGTAGACGAAGATGATCTTGACGTGTTTATTAATGAGGTTGTCATCTTATCACAAATAAACCATCGAAACATAGTCAAGCTACTTGGTTGTTGTCTGGAGACAGAAGTTCCTCTTCTTGTCTATGAGTTTATCCCGAATGGCACACTTTTTCAACATATCCATGACCCTATTGAGGAATTTCCATTTTCTTGGGAAATTCGTTTGAGGGTCGCCAGGGAAATAGCAGGAGCACTTTCTTACTTGCACTCTGATACATCCCCGCCTATTTATCATCGGGATATCAAGTCGACCAACATACTATTGGACGATAAGTATCGTGCCAAAGTGTCTGACTTTGGGACATCAAGATCAGTTGCCATTGATCAAACTCACTTGACGACACGGGTGTTGGGCACGTTTGGGTATTTGGATCCCGAGTATTTCCAGTCGAGCCAATTCACTGCAAAAAGTGATGTGTATAGTTTTGGTGTCGTGATGGTTGAACTTTTGACGGGGGAGAAAGCAATCTCATCGGTTAGAGTTCGTGCAGATGAGGGAAAAAGCTTAGCCACGCATTTTTTGCAGACGATGGAAGAGAACAGTTTATTTGAGATTCTTGATCCTAGAGTTCTCAACGAGGGCAACAAGGATGAAATTATGCTAGTTGCTCAACTTGCGAGAAGATGTCTTCATCTAAATGGTAGAAGAAGGCCCACGATGAAGGAAATAGCGGTCGAGTTACAAGGAATTCAAGCGCCTAAAGAAGGTCCAATGTTTCCTCAAAATGAATTTGAGATTCCCGAGTCTTACGACTTTTCTTCCTTCACAGAAAGTACGCGTATTCTTGAGGGCAGCACACAGTGTTCACTAGTCGATCATCTTCCACTGCTAGATGAACCATAAAAAATATCACAGATGCTTCATCTTTGTCTATCTAATTCCTCAAAAAAGTACAATGCCACTTCTATTTCATTGTTTCCTTACTGTCAAACTCTTCTTCGTACTTTGTTTGTGATGGCATTGATAATGAGATCAGTGCAATAGTTCCATTATAGTTCCCAATATTTTTCAATGTCCAGTTTCATTTATACGTAAGACGTGGCATATTATACATGGTATTTTAGTTGTTATACTGTCACACCAGATGCAATATGTAACCAGGAAACACATACCAGAATAATTAATTATGCATGTATGCGTGAAAATATCTTTTCTAAATAACCAACATTGAAGCTTGTATGTGTAGCAATATAACAATACATCTTACACTACAAGTAATAAACAGATAGTCCATTAAGTTAAATGCAGAAAGACATTGTTACATTGTACCTGCGAAAACATAGCTTTTACAATCTACAGAGCTTCCTAAATGAGCTTTTCAGAGTGAGCTTAGGAAAGTCCCATTACACAGTCAGCAGTTCCAACCTGAAAATATATCGCCGTGCATACTTGCGTGAACAAGTCAATGACACAGAGATGACCAGAATATTTTTTTTTTTTTTAAACACACTTGATGAAGTAAATCAACTTTAACTACAAATTTATGTTAACAGCTAATAAGCTAGCAAGAATGTGAATCCTTAACGAGTGATTTGGTATCATGAAACTATATAGCACATCCATACTGGTGTGGACACTCGAATATAACTGATTGGCTATATCGATAACGGCTCAACACACACTCACACACATCTGAGAGAAAGAGAGAGAGAGAGAGAGAGAGAGATTGACGTGGTGGCGAGATGGTCAGATCCTCAATTCTAGTACGTTTAAATTTTAATTACCCTATTTTTTTGTTATTTTATTATATACATGAGCTAGAAATAAAATAAAATAAAATTAACTATTTAATGAAACAAAATAAATTATAATTTAAATTAAAGTAAGGGTATAATACGTATTTCGCATGTACGAGATGTACGAGACAATCAACATAAGTTTTTGGCTCTTATGGTGCACTTCATCTGTGTGGAACCGCACCCTCTTGTCCCGATTCTCTAAATCTTAGATTTTGTGGTGGCACCGATCACGAGATCGATGCAATAGTTCTAGTTTCTTTCCATTATATTCTCAATGTCTAGTTTCATTTATTTTAAGTTTACGAATGGTCACTAAAGAGCTTCCATTTTGGATATCAAGTAATTCCTGCCAACAAATCACTAAGCCGAATGGTCACTAAAGATCAAGTAATTGCTGGTTGGAAGTCAGGAAAAGCCATTCGGAAACTTCAATGAATGACAGGAAAAGCCCGTTTAATGACCATTCAGTTTTAGTGATTTGTGGGCAGAAATTACTTGAAGCTCTTTCATCAACCAGCATAGTGTATACTTCCCCCACCATCACCATTAGTTAATTAAATCTGGAAGTTGGATGTATCCTCCTCCCATTATTCAGATCAAATTTTAAATGAAATCCCTAATATATTTAGCTATTTTGCATGCTTAAGCTCAAAGGGCATCCATAACAAAATTCTACTTTTGACATTATTCGCCCCATTAAGATGCATAAGTGGAAACGAAAATTAAAGGCTCAACCTTATTTATAAACACACGTGAATTGTTTTGGATTCTCAAATTCGCTATCGTCTCAAACTATTGCCTTATGAGTAGAACACGGAATCATGTGTGGTATTTAATCCGACTAGGAAGATGCACGTGCTACGCACGTAATATTAATCATTTTTTCTTTACTTAAAATTGTTTTTATTATTAAATTTACATTTAATAGTATAATATAATTTTCATTCTATTAATTAATAAAAAATTGTCTATTTTATAATAACCAATAATAAATGTAATAAATAATGAAATATAATATTTAATACTTTTTACCAAACTGTGACATAAAATTAAATAAAAAATATTGGTTTGAAAATTCACAGTATTATTATTATTTTTTTTTGTAAAATTTTAAATGCTAAAGAAATTTATGTCGTCTTTGATTTTGTTATCCAATGATAACTCATTATGCTTAAAAATAACGATCATTATCATTGTCATCATAATATAGCTTTTTAATGTCTTATTTTTGCGTTATGCTCTTTGAAAATAAGTCGAATATGTTATAACTATCATTTGTAGTTATAGTTTTTCTTATTGTTAATTGAACTAACCAACTATGTTTGATTGTTTCATTCTCGACTATTTTCAGCATAGTGGATGCTGATCAAGTATAATATTTCATAATACTTAGATATATATTTTTATTTGGATAAAATGGCACAACAAATAAATAAATGTTTGAAAATGTCTTTAAAGTCGTGATTATTTCAAAAATAAAATTTAATTAAAAAAGATTAGAAACATTAATATCGATTATATGTACCCATTTCTCTATATATATTGTCCAATATTGGTTGATTGAAGGTACTCATCTCATATTTTGTCCAATATAAATTATTGTTGCATCTCCTAACATTACCATGCATGCATTACTATTTTTTGTTCACGAATTTTCAAGACTATCCTAAATGTGACAAAATAAATAATTTCAATTTATATGAATTATAAAATGGTGATTCTTTCATATTTTACTTTTATCTTGATATTATTTTTTATATCTTCGTCAATATTTATATAGTTCTTTTCTTTTCCTTTTTTTTTAACTTTTGAGAAGTAATTTGAATCATTTAATTTATGAATTATATAAATATATATATATATATATATATATATATATATATATATATATAATTGCAGGCTATTACATTAATGTAATTGCCTATCTTTTCCCGCTTATTTTTATAAGTTATTTTTAGTATGTTTCACCTATCATTTTATTTGTCTTTTTTGTAATTAATATCTAATATTTAATATAAGTTGTAACGGTCATATCTTAAAACTAATATAATTGCACTTTTGTTAATTTGGTAAGTAAATAATTATTTGAAATAAAATAATATATATATATATCGAATTTTCCTTAGGGAAAAATTTATGAAAATAAATTATAACCATATCAATTTTTTTATTTTTTTTTCATTTGTAGAGATACCATTATTAATGAAATATATATATATATATATGATAAATAATCCTACCTATCTTTTCAAGCCATCTTAATAATGTAAATTAATGTTAGTTTATAAATTTATGTTATCTTTTATCAATTTTAATTCTAAATTAGTTTTTTAAGTGTTGTAAAATACATAAAAAAAAATTTAGTAAGGTGTATTAATTGAGATGAAATGGTTCTTTATTTTTTCTTCATATTTGTGCAAATGAAAAAAATTATATTCATATTTAATAATGACGAAATATTTTTCTTATAAAATAATACCAATATAATTACTTAATTATAAGTGAAAAATTATCAATGAAATAATCTAAATGTACACATATTTTATTATATAAATATAGTATGTATATCATTTGTTCGATAATTCTCTGAAAAGATCAATTTATGTGGTATATAAGATTTACATTGTCCATTTTATAATTATATTTGTTTAATACTATTACAAAATGTTTCTGTAGTAATAATATGATAGTTGGTAATTATAGATAGTATTTTTATTGATGATATATATTTTACACTTATGAAATAAAAATATTTTATTTAGAATAATATCTTCTCTTACATTTAAAAACTACCTTTAAAATAACCAAACTGAAACCTAACGTCATAGGTCGTATGTAAACTAATTATGATTAATATAATTTAAAATATATTATTTGTTTAAAATCTATCAATTTGCGTAGATAATCTTTTTGTACGTGTAAAAACTTTAAGATATAATTAAGTATAAAAAATAAAATATAATGAATATAAGTAAATTAAGAAATGAAAGTTCAAAAATTTAACAAATATTGTTAATTGTAACTTCTTAACATTAATAAGAAAATTACATTCATAACCTTAAAACTTATCTTTAGTAAGGGCATTCTTGGCACTTCAAAAGTTTCAAGAAACTACTCATAGTTATAGAAAGGGAGTTATAGATTATAGATTATAGATAGATAGATAGATTATAGATTATAGATAGATTATAGATAGATAGATTATAGATAGATAGATAGATAGATAGATATACTGTCATACCAAATGAAAACACAAACCAGAATACTTAATAATGCATGTATGCTTAAAAAATGGGTTTCTAGATACCAACATGGAAGCTTTTATGTATAACAATTTAACGATACATCTCGCACTACAAGTAATAAATGAATATTACAGAATACTCATAAGCTCATTCCATTACATGACAAGAAGTTAAATGCAAAAAGATATTATTGCCATTGTACCTGTGCAATCATAGCTTCTGCAATTTACAGAGCTTCCTGAATGAGCTTTTCAGTGAGGGTTTTGGGAAGTCCCATTACACAGTCAGCAGTTCCTACCTGAAAATACATAGCAGAGCAGACTAATATAAACAAGCCATTTACAGAGAGGTGACCACAATTTTTTTTTATTTTTTTTCAAACACTTGAAGAAGGAAATAAATTTAACTACGATTTTATGTGAATGATTAATAAGATAGCAAGAATGTGAATCCTTAATTAGTGATTCAGTTTCCTGCAATGAAATATAACATAAAAATATACTGATGTGGACACCAAACTATAACTGATTGGCTACATCCACTACATCTAAACACACAAACACGCACACATACACATACACACACACATACACACACACACACACAGAGAGAGAGAGACTAACCACGGTGTCTACCAAAGGCAGAGTCAATGGATGTTCAAGCATCAATCCCCCAGCAACATTCAAGATTATTCCTTCCTCAATCTAAGTAAATGGTTGAAAATTAATTAGGCGTGTTATTGGAAATGAGTATTAGGTCCTTTTATAGTAACTTACCAGGTTGTCGACGACTTCATCTGGTATGTCTAGAAAATAAACCTGCAGTAGAAGTAATCTAAATCAGATTCAACGGTTCAGCAGTACAGAAGTTAAGAAGTCACCAGATACTAATTTAAGGGTTTGAAGTGGAAAATTATTTGCGAAAGTCGCATAATGTGAGGTCACAGAAACTGGAATGCTGATGTTCCATAATTCTTGGACATAAGCTTAGATGCATGTTTGCCAAGCAACTATATCATCAGAAAGATTTATTTAGGATCCATATTATCTGATCCCAAGTTCCAGAAGTTGTTCAAGCAAATTTTATGGGATATCTTTCTACGAAACACACTTCATTAGAGAGCTTCTTGCTTTTTTTCTAATAACATGGTGTTTTTATTTACATCTTTAGCCACATTCACAGGGAACGAATAAGTAAACAACTTAAAGGAGAGAAAGAAGAGATGAACAAGAAGTTGAAAGCTAAACCAACTTAAAGATAGTATAAAATTGCCAACACCCAAACATATCTAAATTATGTATTAATTTATGCTTTCCAATCCCAGTTTTGCTATGGAACCATCGGATGGCTCGGCTTATGGAGCCATCAATAGTTATTCACAAATAGTATATTGACACATGTGCTACAATAAATACACTTTGGACAGGTGCTAATACATTAAGTGATTCATGGTTCCATAAGAACACCATCAGGTAGCTCCATAGGATTTTTGTTCCAATCCACTCCTAACAAAAGCCAATGTTGACTACTGAATATACTTCAATTTCACAAAAAGATATCTGAAAAACCCTTAGGTGCCATATTTTGACTTCAAAGTAATAAATAAGAATTAGGTCTAAGTACAAGAAGTACAATATTATATGAGAATGCATATTGATATGAAGTACCTCAGCACTCTCCCATCCCCCTTTTCTACTGCCTGTCACCAAATTAGTTACAAGTACCGATCCCACAACTTGTGCTGAACCACCAGAATAATCTGTAAGAAACAATCACGACTTGCAGGATTTGCTAGGTTTTTAGCACAACAGAAAATGGCAAGAAACTCAATTGAGCAAACCTCTTATAAACTGTTGTGCTTCAGCCTTGGTAGATGGCTTTTCTCTAATAGTCCCTTGATAAACCACCACCTCGATATCATTTAGATGCAATTAAGTTAAGAATCTTGTTTTCTGACCAAGAGAAAACATCAGAATACAGAAAAATACTATGTTTTACCAAGGATAAACTATTTATTAGAGATGTTGAAAAGAGAAAAATCTTTCAGAATAATGTAGGGGCTACTAAAAATATTAAAAGGGAGGTGACCACAAACAAAGGCCAAAACTAAGTTCCAAGATAAAAGATGCCGCAGAAAAGTTCTACCATCTAATGCAGCCACACCTCGCAACATGAAGATATTGAAAGAGGCAAGTTCATGCAGCATCTTATGGTTCCCTTTCTTTTTCTTTTCCTCAGCAGATGCCTATCCTCCAGCGAGCAATTTACAACCAAAACAAGTATCTAACTTCCCTTTATCATGATCTTGGTACCAATGATATAAAAGAATCAACATAGAACATTGCCTAACAATAATTAATACAGAAACTTGATTTTGAAAACCTTCCTACAACGCCTAATGGTTTAGAAGAAAAAGAAAATCAAATTAATTTACAGAGATAACTAACTGAAACTCTGAAAGTCAAATGGAAGTCATTTCGAGAGGGAACTCATTAGCATACTGTATCTGCCGTAATTAGCAGTGTGGGCCGCTGTTTTTCCAATTCGTCAGTAGCCTCAAGCCTTGTTATAATAGCATCAGCCTGAGATTTAGAACTCCGAAATGCATACATGAAGTTTTCACACAGTAACCTTGAGTAAGAAGTTTTATAATTAAAATCAACATCCCGCAAAAAGAACATATCCATGCCAGTACCCAAATTGCTTCATTATGCTTTCTAATTAAAACCAAATGTAAGTTCTGTTGTCTATGTGCAGGTACACAGGGGATGCAAATTAAATCAATATAAGGCAGATATCATTATGGTTTACAAATCACAATACACAAAAGAGGAGAGATCCACAATGATTTATTCTATTCAGATTTAATTATTAGACCTATTTAATATATGTAATTGCAAATTTAGAAAAATAATCCTGTGATCGTAAGTTCCTCAAGATGATCTAATAGAAGCAAAAGAGTAATATCTCCTCCTCATGGTTCTTAAATCTCAGTAATCACACTTAAATTATTTATCTACAGCTCTTATTGTCATCATCAATTCAAATTATCAAAACAATTATACTACACCAATTTCAAGTTCAAGTTGCCCAATAATTACAAGTTCATGTTTTGAGGTAACAGAATTGGGGGATAATGCAATGAAATCAGTCATCAAAAACCTTTTCACTAATCAGTGGACATCTACTATACTTTTACAGGTTTGACAAATATACTTTTAAGCATTTTGTAGATATAGTATTGTAGTAAAACATGCTGTATATTCAATTCATTTCATGAAATACAGAGCAAAATTAAATAATATAATCAAACAATCCAAATGAATTTTAAGCATACGGTATTGATGACTAAATCCAAATAATATATGGTATTGCAGTAGAACAGGCTGTACAGAAATTCAAGAATCATTTTGTATTTCCAGATACCTTGGCCTCCGCTAGGGCCATCACAAAGTCTTCTGGTTTATCCTTCCTGATACGCTTCTCATCTATATCTGCAGTCTAAATGAAAATTCCATTCAGTAATTCGGTTGGGTATTAATTAGAAAAACTTTTGAGATAATGCTCAGAAATTTAATTGAGTTTCATGTATGATATCCATGTATGATCCTCTCGCCCTACCATTTATATTATCTAAAAAGAACAATAGTTCAACAATTTTTTTCTTATGCACCCAAAATTATCACAAACCCCAAATTTTACGAAATCAAATTATATCTTTCCATTCACTAACATGCAAACTTGTGAAACTTAAATATCATTTTGTAGAACTAATGCAGTTCAGTAGCCATTGGATTGTAAATAACTTTGTGAATTGCATAGAGTTTCAAACAGGACTGGATTAATTGTTTAACAACACAAAGCAGATTACTTCCATTTCATTTGTGCACAAAAGTCCAGCTAACTGGCTTTAACATTTTAAGACTAGAGTTTCTTTCATGAAAGCCACATTTTGGAACTAAAGCTCTATGCATGAAATGGTGCTTATATACTGATGACAGTAACTGCCAATGCAAGACTAGTATTGGATCTACTCCGGCTCTAAGTACGGGACAGATCACATCTACTTCAAGACTTCAACTGCACATAACTAGTGTTGTGACAAGTGGCTAGACAAGGAATGGCGAAAATGTGGTTCATATCAATTTACTGAAATTATCCAAAAGAAAAATCAAATATGTTAGCAATACAACTGTATCCATTCTCTCAAGCCACACACTAAGGTAGCTAAAACCAGAATTTTATTTCCTTCACATAGACAGAACGTATATTCAAAGAGTTTCGACAAAATGCCGAGCTACAAAATGGATAACATGGGCAAGGAGAGAAACCTACGGTGAAAGAGTAAGAGACAATCAGAGTCATCATCATTAGAAACCGCATTAGACTTAAAAAAAAAAAAAAAAAAAAAAGAAATTCGCAGATATTATAGAGACAGTATAAACAGAAAACCCGTAGCCCACTGATGTACGAGGACAAATGTGATACAAAATGTACCGAAATAGAGAGGAGGAAGGTACCATGATGGTGAAATCGTAGCCCATTTCAGCTAGGATCTTCCGACGAGCCATGGAAGCTGAACCTAGTATCAACTTTCACATCGAAGAAAATGTCAAATGCGTCATCCATAATATCTCAATAATGCGCCAGTGAGTGTGTGTGAGTGTGTGTGTGTGTGTGTGTGTGTGTGTGTGTGTGTGTGTGTGTGTGTGCGCGATAGAGGGAGACCGCAAAATCCTTGCTTTTCTGGACGACGCTGCGGCTGGTATCCATCGCTGATGGCGGTTTCACAGCTAAGCTTTTAAAAGATAAGATGCGGAAGAGCAAGGAATGAGACTGAAGGCCAAAAAGCTGGACAAATGATTTTTGTAGAGGTTATTGAAAAAAATAGTCCTTGGGGGCTCGCCGGGTTACAGCAGAGGTTGATAATAAGGGCGTCGTTGAGATAATAACCCACGAGCGTTATGGCGGCCCGCATGGAGGATTGGTGAAGGGTATTCTGGAGCTTCTACATCGTGAATGGGAGGTGAACTTGGTCCATGGTTATCGGGAAACCAATTTTGTGGCCGACTATTTAGCCCCCTTGGCGGCAACGTGTCCAGGTGGTTTACAGAGATTGGAGAGGCCCCCGTCGGGGGTGAGCATGTGGTTGCAGCATGATAAATTGGGTGTGGCCTTACCTAGGAATGTCTTGAGATAGTTTCATTAGGCTCTTGTAACGCCCCGTTCAATCTATAGAATTTCTTGGAATATTCTATTTATTGAATATTATTATATTTATTTTATTACTCGCCATGTCGACTTAAATTAAAAATGTCAGAGTACTCGAGCGTTTTATTGAATAACGTTCGTCGTTAGTCGATTTCGGTTTAATCGCTTGAACCGAATATAATACGCTGAAATAATGGATTTTTCGGATATTTCGGCATTATCAATATTGTCAGTCGCTCGTCAGTCGCTGAGGTCTCGAGTCGCCGCCACCATGAGAATTGAACTGTCGATCGCTGCGAATATTCGTGGTCCAGAGACGCCGCTCGACCACCGGACGGAATTTTAGAGAAATGGTTGGGTGAGGAAGAAAGATTTTATTTCACGAATTGGATTTTTGGTGTTTGATTGATCAATTTGTAGAGAAGAATTGGAATTGGGGATTTGATGTGAGAAAGAAGAAGAAAGAGATGGGGGAAAGAGAAGAAGGAAAATGACGGGGAAAAGGAAAACAAGAGGAAAGAGGAAAAGGAAAATAAAAATTGGAAAGATGATTTTTATTTTTGGGCTTTAAAGTTGAAATTGGACCATAATTTGGGTTTTTGTGTGTGGACCATTCTAAAATTAATTTGGGCCGAGTCAAGGTCATCCAAAATGAAGCTTCTAACCGAATACCGAGCTATTATCGATTTGTGCCTCCCCGCTTGTAGATTCTTGAATTGCGGTAAATCTCGAAATCCCGACTCGTTTAATTTCGTTGACTTGTGTGATTGTTGATATATACATGCAATTTGGATAACAAAGTGATTGTCGTCACTTTGGAATGTTGTCGAACTGAAGTAAATGTGGTATTTCCCGTGGAAGTGCTGTGGATTATTGGACTTAGGAATGTCATTGACGCAATGACTTTGGTCTTGTGTTGTTTTTGTTGTGTATATTGTAAGATATGAATTTTTGAAAATCATGCTGCAGCCCGTTTTTGCTAAAATCACTATAATTCGTGTATTGCTCCAAAAATTCTGATTTTTGGATATGTTGTCATACTGCTGTTATATTAATTGTAGTTAAAATTCGACATTTTTGTGTGGCCTGTAGCCTTGTCAAAACTCCAAAACCATTTCTGGGTTGTTTCTTAATAAATTCATATAAAATCGAGTTCTTGTCCAAAATGGCTAATTTTTGGATACGTTTCTTTTGTACATGTTATCTTGCTTCTTAAAAATTTCAAATTTAAATTCGGACTATAGATATTTTAAATAAATTAATTCAATTTCTGGTCAGATTTTGTTTGATTTATTTAAATTGGTTAGGAGCATGTTTGGGAGCTTTCCTTTGGTGAAAATGTGTAAATTTCAGTCCTATATGTGTCGTAAAAATTTGAATTGAAAAGCCTAAGCCTAACTCCTTATGATTCTATTCTTAAAATTTTGAACTAGTCATTTTTAACCGTTTTTGGCACCGGTTGGCCTTGATGGCAAACCTTTGACCTATTGACCCTGTTTTTGTGTCAAACCTTCACTGGTTTCTTTTATATGATTCTTTAATTGGTTGGTCGAGTCTAGGAGTCGTCCTAATGTTCCAACTCCACAACTTCCACGAGTTTCTTAGTCGATGTGATTCGACTAAGTATAATTCTCGTTATATGTGTAAGAGTCGAGATAGTTGCTTATGGGACTGTCTTGACTTATGTAGGTGTCTGAAGAGCAGAGTCTCAATCACCTATGACCTTCTGGTTAATTTGCTTGATCAACTGATACCAGGTGGGTTTTATTTGAAAATTTGCTATGCCGTAAATAATTTATTTGTTGTTGGGTTGGTATGATCAATGCATGCTTGTGAATTGGGGTAACCTTCGATGTGAGTTGTATGTCCTTCGAACGGTTGTCCCCGTCGATGTGAGCTGTATGTCCTTCGACGGTGCCCTTGTGAGGCAATCTCCCTAAGTCCTAATGATAGGCCATACCGTTGAGAGCTGTATGTCCTTCGGTATGCACTCCCATTGTTGAGAGGTATATGTCCTTCAATGGCTAATGATAGATGTGCACATGAGTGAGATTATTGATGTATTGATTGGAGATGTGACATGTTGAATTGATTTATGATCATGTTGTGACCATACCCCCTTTGTTATATTATGTTGTTATTTACGTGCATAGTGGTGAGCACTATTGTTTCCTTTGTGCTCATCCTCACCTGCTCTTCATGGATGCAGGTTAGTGTTGCGGGCACGGCGGAAGGAGGCGAGTGGTGGTCATAGTAATTGTATTTGCTTCCGCTTGAAACTGAATTATTGCTATTATTGTTTTATTTGAACTGAATTATTATTGGATTGTCGATTCTTGATAAGTATTGAGGATTGAGTATTGATGCTTGTTTGAATTTGGATAATGGTTTTAAAAATGAGTAGCGCCTCAAATATTGTTTCAATATTAATTTTAAAAAATTTATCCTGAATTTTGGCAAATAAAAGTGGGGCGTTACAGCTCTGCCTCCTTTTTTTGTACCCCAAAAAAAAAAAAAAAAATAGTCCTTGCAAAATTGGTAGATGTTATAGTAAACTAGTAGGTAAGAGATATTCATTAATATTATAAATTAAAATATTCATTAAATAATATTTATAGATTAAAAATATAGAATCAATATATAATACAATTGACCTAAATTATTTTATTAAAAATGTTATATGAAATTTAGATTGTGCAAAATTACATAAAATTGTTTAAAATCAGTACGCAGCCCGTACGGTGCACGTAGCTGATAACAAATTACATTATATTCATTTCAAAAAAAGTGCATTTTAAAAATTTTATTTAGAAATTCAATTTGATCACAATGTGATTCTATAAAATAATTATTTGAAATGAAAATCAATATAGTTAATTGTTGTATAAATTAACATGCACTGGATTTTCACTATTTGCTGATTTTCTTGCTTCATGTTCATTCTTTATGTTCATTGGTGATGATTTATGTCCTTTAGCATAGTCTTTGTCCATTGTACACTTCAAATTGCTCTTTGAAAGTGTCACCTGCTGAAAACTGTTTTGACAAAGGAATGTCAAAAGGCATCTATTATACACTAAGTATAAAAAAAAATATTTCATTGCAATATAGAAAACATAACTAATCAATAATAAATTGATGTACCCGTTTCAAAACTTTTATGTATGTCTGTATTTTTTATGTATGTTATATACCATCAGACATGACAATAATCATCCAAACCATGTGTTTGAGTATAAGCAAAAATTGCACTTTTGGAAAAAGAAAAGAACTGTGAATGAAAAACAACACGCAAGTTACACTGTCAAAAAACCTTAATGGACTGCAAGCAGACATCTATTACCTTTTGTTTGACTGTATGAAGCTTATATTCATTCTTACTAGTATTGATACCCGTGCGATGCACGGGGCACTATACAAAAATTATTTTTTATTTAAGTATGATAAAATTATTTAAGACAATATGAAATTTTTTTTCTCCATAATATTCTATTCTTAAATAATATGACATTTATTTATTTATTTACTATTATTGTTAGCTTCTATATATATATATATATATATATATATATATATATCTTTTTTTTACTATTTAAAATATAAAATTTCTTATTTATAAGTTTATAAAATATTATAAATGTATAAGATCATATGATATTTGCATAAAAATTATTTTTATATATTTATAAAATTTTCGTTTATCTTTAGTTTTTTAATTTTGTCAACAATACATAATTTGCACATTGCTTGATAATTGACCATCGTTTAACCCATACTATTTATCGTTCGCTACATGTTTTAAGTTCATTAAATGCTGAAAACTTTGATAAATAAATTTTAACATTAAGTAACTTTAATCCTTATGCAACATACAAATTTTTTATGGTTAAATATTTATTTTTATGTTTTTATTTTATATTTATATTTATTCCTTTAATTCTTTTTTTTTTCAACCTATATAATGAGTTATATAATATCCATTCGAATATTTAGATATATTATATATTTTCATGATTATCAGGTGCTATAAGTTAAATTATTATACAATTTAAATTTTTATACATCGTTTTTTTATTAACATATTTTTTCATTTATAAAATAGTATATAAGGAAAAAAATATATATTTTTACAAATTGAATAATTTTATATTGCACATAGATACTTCTAAGGTAAAATTTATAATTCTGAATTGCACCCGACCGTCAAATTTTATTTTATTAGTATATTATTTAAATTTCAATAGTTTTATCACTACATATGATATATTCAATGAGCATGTACCTTTATATAGTTAAATTGACTATACGTTTTAGAAAATTTTATTTATAATTTTATATTATTTATTAATTAGTTATTTTG